AAAGCTTTTGATTCAGTAAGCTTAACAATGATGGAAAAAGTACTAAAGAGAATAAGAATACCTGATCTAACAACTAAATTTCTTCTTAACTTATACAACAAGTAGAAAATTAAAGTTATCACAGATTATGGCCTTACTAGGAAGTTTGAAGCAGGAGACAGACTAGATCAGGAAGAAGTAGTCTCACCTCTCATATGGCGAATATTCTATGACCTACTACTAACTGAAATTAGCAAAGGGAAAGACTTAGGTTATAGAATAGAACTCAATTGACTATATGATTTAAAGATGAACAAAGCATAGATAACAAGCTAGCAACAAAGTGTACTGGCTTATGCAGACGATACAATATAGCTAGCAAGATCAAAAGAGGAAATGCAAAAAATAGTTAATATCTCTGCAGAATTTTATGAACTAAATGATATTGAGATAAACAGCAAAAAGTCTGAACTCCTTGTACTAAACTTAAAAGGAAAAAGGCTACAGCCAGAAATATTGATAGAAAAGATCAAAGAGCCAGTGCAAGCAAAGTGAGAGAAAGAAGTTATTAGATATCTTGGAGTTTGGATATCAGAAAAGAGTAGAAGAGAATGCAATAAAGCTATCATTATAAAAGAAATCACAAGAATGTGTAAAGCGATTATATGGAAAAAAGCATCAGTAAGCTAGCTAGTATACCTAAACAATAGTGTACTCATGTCCAGTATCGAATACAGGCTACAGACAGCTTTTTTATCTAAATCTGCATATAAATGAATACAAAGACCTATTTGGACATTGATTAAGAACAAGATAGGCCTAGTAAAATCAGCTCCGAATAGTATGTATAGTCACGTGAAGATTTTAGGACTACGTACAATTTGGCAGAATCAGCTTGCATATCATATTACAGAATTAACTATGCGATTGAACAAACAAAATGAGATAGGACTCACTACAAGACTAAGAGTCAAAGAAGTACAACTTAGCTGTATGGATACAAACAATATTTCTGACTGTGGCCCTTTTTCTTTTAAGTTTAATACAAGGAGTTCAGACTTTTTGCTATTTATCTTAATATCATTTAGCTTATAAAATTCTGCAGAGATATCAACTATTTTTTGCATTTCCTCTTTTGATCTTGCCAGCTATGTTGTATCGTCTGCATAAGCCAGTACACTCTGTTGCCAGCTTGTTATCTGTGCTTTGTTCATCTTTAAATCACATGGCCAATTGAGTTCTATTCTATAACCTAAATCTTTCCCTTTGCTAATTTCAGTTAGTAGTAGGTCATAGAATATTCACCATATGAGAGGTGAGACTACTTCTCTCTGATCTAGTCTGTCTCCTGCTTTGAACTCCTTAGTAAGACTATAATTTGTGATAACTTTAATTTTCTGCTTGTTGTATAAGTTAAGGAGGAACTTAGTTGTTAGATCAGATATTCTTATTCTCTTTAGTGCTTTTTTCATCATTGTTAAGCTTACTGAATCAAAAGCTTTTTTCATGTCCTGAAAGAGAATCCATAGCTCTTTGTCCTTTTGTCTTGTATCTTCTAGCAAGTTGTTCATGATGTGAATTAGGCTTGAAGTACTATCACCTAACAAATCTGCAAAGTTTGGTCCTTCTAATATACTGTGTTTGACCAGTATACTATCTAGCTTTTGCATAATAACTCTTACTACTGTTTTCTGGAATGCTTCCAGTAGTACAATTAGAGGTCTGATCTAGTCAAAAAACTGGCAATTCGAATATTCATTTGATCAAACCTATTATATCCGAGTAACCGATGAAAAATTCGAATAAATATCTAATTTATTCAATGATATTCGATGATATTTGATATCTTTTTAGTTACTTCATACTTTCGACACTTTTTCGACTTATTACAGTATTAAAATTGCAAGCTACATATTAGATCACAGAGCTAATAACAATAGTTTAATTTACATAAGATTAGCGTTAGTTAATTTCTTTCCGACTATAACACAATCTTTAGTTCATTCGCAAGTTTTAGATCTTTAGATCTCGAAAATTCTGTTTTCTAGTATACTAAAAACTTAAAGCAGTACTTTTGTAAATCTCTATCCAGTAAGGTTAGGATCTATTTAGAGCTTCCTTGAATCTTTCACTTGGCCACATGATAAGTATAAATCTAAATTTTCATTAGGTTATTGTACCTTACAAAAATTTTCATATTTAGATATTAAATTTTTTTGGTTATTAAAGGCTTGCACTAAAAAACTTATGCAAATAGAATGCTAAGAAAATTGTCTTCTAGGCATTTTATTATGCCACGCCATTTTTATTTTATTTTTTTTATATATATATTCTATTCTTTTTATTTAATAAAAGTTTGTTTTGTGAAATTTATATCTAATATGATTTTTTTAGCTAAATAATGATTCATTTCAAGCTATCAATTATAGAGAAGAAGAAAAAAAAAAAAAGAGGAAGAAAAAAAAGAAAAAAAGGAAAAGAAAAAAAAGGACAAAAAAAGAAAAATAAAAAAAAAAAATACTAAAAATACTAAAAAAAAAAAAAAAAAAAAGAAGACGTGCTTCCAAAAAAAAAAAAAAAAAAATCTCCAAAATTTTATTCAATTAAATCATAAACATTATTTAGTTTATTATAGTTTCATTTTAAAAATAACATTCGTTCAAATAATTTTGGTTTTAGCATCATTCTTCTAACAGTTATTATATTGTTTGCATCGCTGAAAAGTCGCTCACTCAGAGTTGAGGTCGCGGGTATCACAAGATACTGTCTTGCAAGCTCACTTAAAAGAGGAAGAGAAGTCTTTTGAGTATTCCACCAGTGAAAAGGATTATGATTGTAGGAAATTTCAGGTAAAGAAAGATAATGACTAATTTCATCAATTGGCTCATCAACAGTATTTTGCATAAAAAGTGATTTGATGAATGTTTTTTGATAGATTTGGCATTCCCTCTGATTATTTTCAGCTAAAAGTTGTTCATTAAAATCTAAAGGCTGGTTTGTTAGGGTTAGTGAAGATTGAAGTGATTTAATATTATTATATTTTTCTCGAAGAGCAGCTTTCACCTGGAGTTGTTGAGTTGATGTTGCAAATCTTAATTTTTTAAACCTCAGATCCAGAAGGTATGCAAGGAATAATTCTTCATCTGAAAAATCCTAATAGTGTAAGAGTGCATTATATAATGTATTCTTAATTTTGTGCTGCATATTAGTAACGTCAATAGGTGTATTGATTTTAATTTTTCTTCCTTTAGGACCACTTTCTTCTTCTTCCTGTGAATCAACAAATTCAACATTATTGTCGAATACTAGGTCAGGCATTTCAAAATTTATATTATTCGATTCATCTAAATAGTCTATAGAGCAATCCAACTTATCCATCAATCCTAAAATGGAGGTAATCATATAGGAAAATGTAACATATTCGGAACTACCAAGTAATTCTGTAACTTCAAAGAAGTGACCCAAAATATTAACAATATCTCGCATCAAATCCCACTCATTATCAGTTAATTGTATTTCTTTTAACCTTCTTGCGTCTTTTCTTGCTTCAGATGCACTTGAAATACTTAATGTTGCTAAGACAATATTAATAGCATCTTTAATAAGTAGAAGTCATTCCCAAGCGAGAAAAGATGAATTCTAATGAGTAGACACATCCATTTTTGTATGAAGGTACGTTGAAGTTTTAGTAATTATCTATAATAAAAATATTTTAGTTATTGAATAGCTGATAATATAAAATATAGAAACTATGAAATGTCTTTTTAGGGTTATTAATAGAATATTTCAGGCTACAATAAAATATATAAACCACTACAGTTTGAGAGTGGTTGAATGTTTTATTATAATCTGAAATATTTCTATTGATAACCCTATGTTAGCATAATGATTATTAATAAATTGGTTGTTGTTTAAGTGGCATGTATTTTAATTATTTTATTAAAAAATCAAACTTTACATCATTATCTGAGATCCTTAGTGTTTTTTGAGCATCTTTGAGTCGTTCATTTTGCTTTGGTACTATGAAAAAATTAATTAATCGCTTGGCGCATGCCACGAGTACTTCAACAGGCATCAAACCCTTTTCAACAACAAGCTGTAATGTATAGGCTGAACATGGGATTCTTACTATATTACTCATTTTATTAATTGCCGCTTTCATATTAGCCCTATTGTCGGTTGTAATTGAATATACCTTTCTGATGAGACCCCAGTTTTCAATTACTTCTTCTAATTTTTCTTGAATAATATTGGCAGTGTAAAGGTATCTGACATATGTAAGGGAAAGTAATACTTCGTAGATTTTGAAATCAGAATCTAGCCATGAGCAGGTAACTCCAAGATACCTCTGTCTATTATGAGACATCCACAAATCAGTGGTTAGTGAACAATATGTTATAGAATCCTTAAGCTTTTTTCGTATAATCTCAGAAGATTTATTATATAATGTATGAATTATTTGCTTTACACGTTTTTCATCAGGTAAACTGAATCTTGGATCTAATTCCTTTATGAACTCACAGAAGTTAGAGCTTACTGCAAGACTAATTGGTTGTGTGTCCTGGATAATAAACTTAACAAGAGCTTTGGTCAGCTTATTATTCTTCACTTTAGTATATGGATAAGAACCGAATCTTGCAAAAAGATCAATTTTGGTTTAAGCAGGCTAGATAAGAAAAAATTTATTATTAAATAGTTTTAACAAAAACCAATATAGTCAATTCTCTCTATACCAAACTCTTAAGGCTTATTAAAAAAATGAAAAAAGATTCAGGATCTCATTAGTATAGACGAACCTATTCTAAAGTCAATTGATTAATATATTATATTAATAGGATCACCTATACTAAAAGAGATTCATTTAAATTCTAAAGTTTGGTTTAGATGTTTATTTTATCTAGGTTTGGTTTAGAGAGTTAATTGTAATTGCTATGTAAAAAATTAATTTATACATCTTCACATAATTTAGGTCTGCCTTGCGTAATACCATGCGTGTTTGTTAAATGAGATATTAAATTTGAGGTTGATCTGCCTATTATCCTCAATCGTGTATTACAATTTTTTCCTGAATCATTTAATACAAGACAAACGCTGTATATAACCTCAATTTTAATATCATCAGATTCTTCTTTAATTTCAATTACTTTTTCTAATTCAAAATATTTCTACACCCAGCTTCGTTTTTTCGATTCACCTCTATGACCTAGTTTTTTTTTTTTATGCACTGGTTTTTCAAGTAATTCATTATTGCTTTCTTTACTTGTACATGTGTTTTCTAATATGGAGCTTTCAGATCAGTTGGCATACGATTCATCGAATGACTGAACTGACAAAGAGGATTGTAAATCAACATCTTCCATCATAGATATATTAAACAAGAGTCTTAAACTTCAGAAAATAGTGGGACGCAGGATCTAATATATATATTTCAATAATTATTGCTATAATTATATTAATTAAAACGATTTATAATTTGAGATGATGAAATAGCTCAAAGGATAGGTATTATTATCTTTATTACATAGAAGATTAATTTTTCGTTTGGATCTAATCGTGAGGCCTTTTATACTTTTTATACATCATTTTAATATTTGCTTTCTATCATTTTATAATTTTTATATACATCATTTTAATATTTGCTTTTCATCATATACTAATTAGGCAAACGATAATTGCTACATATTATTTCATAAAGAACAATACTAATTTTTTATGGTTAGCGTATTTTAGACTGTTAATGATACGCCTTAGGATACCGACTTAGTATTCTGTGAATTCTGTATAACTTTTTATAGAATATTCAATTATGTACAGCATCAATAAGGTCTGCAACCCTGGTGCATGTCAATGCCTAACAAAAGGCACAGACACAAAGACTTGGCTTAAAACTGTTAGGCATTTTTGTAGCGCAGGCATGAAAATGCTGGATACAAGTTGGGCACTTTGTGCCTGTATGCATAAAGGTTCTGGCTTAAATTGCCTGGCACTTTCGTATCTATAGGTATCAGTGCTTGGCACAGGACCTTGAAAATAAAGCTGGCATTTTTCTAACACATCATTAACGTACTATCAATACAACAGCCCTAAAAATAAAGCAAGAACTGCATTTAAAAATTGAAAACCTTTGATATATAACTTATTTTGAATTAGGCTCTTAATTGTATAATCAATCTTGAATTCAACAAATGCAACAATTGCTTATTAATAATTATTATTGCTTTTTTGTTTTAAATTACTGCATACGATTATAAGTATCTTTGGGGTTCTTATTATAACTGCGAATATAGCTTACTATTCTAACTGATTATTTATAGAAATTGAAATTACAAAAAACTGTAACCGAGCTTTATTAGATTACCTAACTATTCATGATTTGATTATATTGACTTTATGCAATATAAGTATTCTAAGTTCTGATAAAAAATATAATACATGCAATACGTAAAACTAATATAAATAGAGACTTTCTTCAATTTTTGCTAGCTACCCTAACATGTTCATTCCGTTGAAAGCATCGAGATGTACCAAGTTTGCATAATCCTGAACATCACAAATAAAAGTAAAAATTCCGATTATGCAACTAATACCTTCATTACTATAAGATTATTGCCATTAAAATCATCACTATTATCGATACTATTAAGTTACAGATGTACTCAAATGAACTAAGCAAAATCTTCATTTTTTTTTATCATTTATGCTATTAGTAACTATACTGCTTATTTTTGTAACTCATTGCATTTTTTTTCTTATACAGTCGTCTCTCCATATAGTCACAATCACCATATGTAATCACATTTATGTTTAGGGCAAACTATGATTTAATTTATAAGAAAAAGGACCTCCATATAAGCACACTCCTTTATAAGCACTTTTTGAAAAAAAATTACTATGTGCCTAATTGTATGATTGTATGGGAGGACGACTGTAGCGATTACAATTTTGTTTCAATAGAATTATGAGAAAATACCATAATTGTGCGATATATTTAATGTGATACATAGATGAATTCTGATTAAAAGATCTGTATTAATCAATCTATCTGTAGTATCCTTTTTTTTTTTTTGATATTACATTTAATGGTCTTTAAAGTATTTTATACTGATACGCTCTCAGTAAGACAATTTAAACGTTTTTCATGTTGTTAGTTATTGGGTTAATTCTTTTTCTAGTTAGTTCAACCATTTATAGAGGTCATTTGAAAAAACTTTCATATTAGCCATTTGATTTAAATATACTAAACGATTATATATTTATAGGGTTCAATAACTCTGGATATTACAATGGATCTCAATATTTCCTGTATATTTCTCACAGCTGATAATCTACAAATTAGTTTGTTTCAAGTGGAAGTTAGAATATTTTGTTTTTAAAGTAAGTAGGTTTTTGTATTTATATTTGCATTATTTATTATATTTAGATACTAATATGCTATTTTTCTTTTTTGTCAGTTATAAATTATTGGTAGAAATATCTTAATTTATTTTAATAAATCTTAGTATTTAATTAAATTGTGTTGAGTTTCGTCCAAGTTTCTAAGTATCTTAATCTGATCGCCATTTATAAATCGACTAAATATAGCTTGTCATTCGAAGGTATTATTGTGTTGAAATACCTTTGATAATTACATCATACCAAAACTGCGAAACAAAAAGTCGCATTTACTGAAAGCCCTTTAGCTCATTTTAACTGATTCACTTTGTTTCATCAACAGTTATTTTACTGACTTCCAATTCTAACCAATGCTAACTTTAAAATTAGGCTAACTCTAACTATTAATCATCAGTAAAATAGCTTTTGAGAAAGTAAGATCCATCACATCTTCTCTAATTTTAAATAATTAAGAATTTGAAAGAAAAGCATCATATAGTTATAATCATTTATTTTATTTTTACTTTTATTGTTGATTCTGATCCTAAAATTTGATTGATCAGTATGATATATTTTTACCAAAATATTTTCAGTAGGCAACCTTATGATGTGGGAGTTTTTGAATTGATATTATTTATGTACAATATTCGTACTATTATAACATTTATCCCAAACTGAATTAATAGATGTGATTTGCATGTAGATAATATGAATGCTATAGTGTAAAAATTTAGAAATGAAAATTTAAGTGAAATATTTGATTTTTCAAGACTAAATTTGCAATAAAAGCTTAAATTTTCATTTCTGAATTTTACTTTAGTATTTATCAAATATTTCTAAGTTTATTTAAATAACCCTAATACTTAAATAATTAAAGTTGTATTATTGTTTTTTATTAATTTACAAAATTTTAATTTGATTATTTTGTATCATCGAATATCACCAAATATTCATTGAATTAATCGGTGAATAAGAAATATATTTGATATTTAATTTGATGAAATAATCATATATTCGAACATCCGAATATTCATCGAATATTCGAATAATTATTCAATGGATCAGACCTCTAGTACAATAGGTCTTATATTTGCTAGGTTGTAGTTCCATTCTTCACTTTTAGGGATTAGATATAGTTGTCCTAATTTCTATTTTACAGGGATGTCTCTCTCTGTGATACACTGGTCTGCTAGCATTCTAAACACCTTTTGTGCTATCTGTCTTGCTTTTTTAATTAGAGGATAACTGATTCCTGATACACTAGGTGCAGACTTGTTTTTTGTCTTGTTTAGAGCGTTAGCCCAATCCTCTTCTGTTACTCTTTTTAATAGATCTTTATAAATTTCAGTATTTATCTTTTTAATTAGGCTATATGCTTTTACCCATCTTGCTAGTAGGCTGTTTTCATTAATATCTCTTCTCTGAAATTGCTTCATGAAATGAGATCTCACTTCACTTAGAACTTCTTTCTTCTCTGTTAGTAGGATTTTCTCATCTCCTGAAATTTTCATAATTCTATCTACTTTTATCTTTCTTGATGGCCTTTCTAGCAGACTGTTGAGCATAGGTTTTAGTTCTTCTTATATTGCTTTGCATCTTGTATTGATACGCTTATTGATTTCATTTGTTTCTTCTTTTTTCCTTTCTTGTTGTACTTTGAGATTTAGTATTTTCTACTATTTCTTGTATTCAATTGCCACTTCATTTGATCATCTTTCTTCAACTAGTATATTGATTTGAAGATCATATTTGCAATTTAGTTCTTCTATTTTTGAGTTGGTCTGATATCGATCATCATCGCTTATCTGAGAGCTTTCTTTTTCTACACACTTATGGCAAATTTTTCCTAAGTGTCTCAGGTCTTTTAGGATCTTATTACTTTCATTTGTCTTTTTTGATAAGATACTACATACTGCAACTTTTTGGCTTGGTAATGTTGTATATACACTTCTAATTATGCTATTAGATATAATATCCCACAACTCATCTAGATTCTTATCTTTACAAATGTTCTCAAGCATTGTTGATTTGTCTGTAAATCCTAAGTCTTTTGATATCTCTTTTTCTAGTTTTGATTTGTAGCTTTCCCACTTCTCATTTTGTACTTTGTCTAGCTTGAGGATCCTCTTTTTCTAATTGAGTCACTTATTAGTTGCTCCTGATCTTACTTTCTGTACTATACCAGTACCTAACCTTGCGACTACGATTTTGTGATCACTGCATGTGATAAGCTCTGCAGGATGTATTTCACAACTTATACTGCATTGGCTAAGTTCTTTAGATGCCCAAATGTAGTCAATTCTGGTACTAGATGTTTCATTTGACTATGTAAACTCTTTCTTATATGGATGACTCTCTCTGTATAAGTCTTTGAGATTTGAGTTTTCTAACTATCTTAATAGAGGAAGAGATTGCTTTCTGCTTGAGTTTTCTTTGTTTTGGTCTAACTTTTTTGACTTTATATCATTAAAGTCTCCTAGAATGATTATTCGTATTTTGTTTTTCTTGTATTCTCTGATCTTTTGTATTATATGCTGCTGTATCTTTTTTTTTTCTTCTTTGTCACTTGGCAGGATGTAGGTGTTGATGATTACTAGTTTATATCTTTTGAAAAGTAGTAAAGCATCAACATAGTAGTTACTGAATCTGTTAATTTGTCCAATATATTTTTCCCAATTCTTTTTGACTACTATCCCTACTCCTAAACCTTTTAACTTGTTTTCATTTGCATTTGTCCAGAACCCTGTATATCCACTATCTTTTGGAATTAGAAATCTGCCTTGTAGCTCTGAAATGTTCATTTCGCAAATTTCTAGGATATCAACATCTTCTTCTTTTGCCTATTCTAGTATCAAGTTGAGCTTGTGACTACTTGCTTTAAGGCCATTGATGTTATGTGTGCTCAACTTTAAAGTTCTAAAGCCTTTATTTTCATCTGAGTTGAACTGGTTTTCTAACTCTCTTATCTTTTTCTAATTTCTAAGTTTTC